TTCAATCAGTATGCTTTGCAAGCTGGAATTCCCTTCAATCAGTATGCTTTGCAAGCTGGGCCAGAACGCGTGGCCGTGTAACGGACTGAAGGGCGCGAAAGCGTCCAGAGCAATGGCCGATAATCTGTTGCGAAACAGTTCTAAGTTAGTCAGCACCCGGAATCCCGCAAAGGTTTCCCGGGTCAACACGGGCAGATAGATCTCCAGAAGCCGCATAACGGTGACGGTGGCTTTTACGTTGTGCAGGAAGCGGTCAAGAGGAAAAGGCTGATCGTCGGGTGCCACCCAGATATTAAAGAGCCAGACGGTGGTAATGTTGGGACGATACGGTACCGGGATAAAAGAGCTCAGCAGACAGCTGGGACCACAAGCGCCAACGGGGTCAAGTTCTCCAACCATCAGGAAATCCCAGTTGTCCGGAATGGCGCCGACATTGAAGACTGGTTTGCCGCAGGCGCACTGCTTCCACTGCGAACTGCAGCTCGGCAAAACGTAACTTCTGCACCCCGGAGCGGAAGTGTTAGTAGCCGTGGTATTTGCGTCGGATGGAAACGATATAACTGTCGGTACTGCTTGGGCAGCATATTTTGACAGAGTTCCCATTGCAAACAAAAGCAAAAAAATACTGGCAAAGCTTTTCTTCTGAGCTTTAAAGCTTGCACAACCATCGTTCGTAAAACTCATTTTTAACTGGTACATTGCATGTGCAAAATCTGGTATGTAAAAGCAGCAAACTCAAACGCAAATTATACTGAGAGAAACGTCAAGTTATACTTAGAGTTGGCTAAATATGTTTACTGAATTAGGAAGCGTTAGGAAGCGCCGCGCAGATATCGCTCTTTCCAATGCGGAAGTAGACGAAATCATGTTGATGATGAATCACGATACCTTAGCACATTCGCGTATGCGGCAGCTCTAAAGAAGTAAGACCAGTTTATTAAACAGAACTGGCTGCTACCGTGCAAAAGCTGCTGACACGAAGCCACGATAAACCGTTTCCGTGCACCATCACTACACGCGGCGTCGATCCGAGATTAACATGAGTAGATCCGCATAATATGCGCATCTACTCATATTATTCTCGCTGACTACCGGATGTCGCTAATTCTGATGCGGAAGTAATTCGAATCTATGTTGATGATGAATTACAGTCAAGCACATACGTGTATGCGGCAGCTTCCAAGAAGTAAGTCTAGTTCAGCAAAAAGCAATGGCTGCTACGGTGCAAAAATTGCTGCACGAAGCCACGTTCAGGGGAATGTAGCGACAGCGGTAAGGCAAAATAGCCGAATTTCGTGACGCGGCAAAGATCTTAGCAAAGGTCATATGAGCACAGTTACAACAATAAGGACAACGGCAACTAAATGATAACAGGCGATGGTCTAATGTAGATGCGCCGAATCCCGGCTGCGCATACTTAATCTCGCCGGGCAACATCACTCTCTCCTGTCCCGCCGGCATGGACATCCCCGACAACTTTGACGTCATGAAAATCCGCAAAGACGTTCAGGAGATCGTCATCGCGGCGGGAAGCGACAACATTCTCCGCTCCGATGCGCCACCGCTGCCAACCGACCTCACCGCACTGCGGAAGATCTCGTTGTCCCGATTCACCAATGAATACGACTCGCGCATCGCCTTTAGGCGCTTCCTCGATCGACAACGTCATGCGACACCTCACTGAATTGATTGCGCGTCGTCCACAGCAAAGTGGGCTTCCTGGAATACGGCTTCCTCTGGGGATTCGTTCGGCTGACGAAACTGGACTTATCTGGCTGCGATATTTCCACCTTCGAGGCGGGGCCGTTCGCCGGCAGTTGGAGCTCTGAGCTGACAATGAGTGTCGACTTGTCTGGAAACCGCATTGAATTCATCAACTGGGTGGATTTCCTGCCGTTCACCCAAAAATCATTGGTATGAGCACCGTAGAGTTTCGCTAAGCGGGTACATGTTCTCATAAAGGCTTCTCTGGTAGTCGCTGGACCTTTCGGCGCAAACGCCGGGTCTGAAATTCATCAACTGCTCCCAAGAGTACAACTTAACTAGACCGATCGGTGCGGTGTCGCTGGGGTCCAACCTTTTGGAATCCATTCCGCCGTGTGTCACGTTTTCGCTACGGCACTTTGACGCTTCTAGCTCTCTAAACGTGGACAACAACCCCTTCTGCCCGACGGACGCCATGTGCGGCTGCCCCGCGATGCAACCGTTTCTCCACTTCGCCTGCCAGGACTTCGCCGTCAACCCGGTATCCAGCTTCAAGTGCGGCACTCCACCCTATCAGGTCTCATGGGCCCCTCCCAAACTGCCGCCCAGCGCACCTTGCCGCAGAGCAGCTCCCGGATTGCTGCGAACAAGTTGGCCAGATCGTCGTACTTGTGATTTTGCTGTTTTCGGCACGAAAAGTTTTCAAATTGTTGTCAGATGAAACGCTGTAGGCAAAGAAGGACACACCATCAATTTATACAGTGATCGTTCCTTTCGTCAGACTCCACCATTTTCTTTGTTGTCATTCGAACAGTAACCTTTGGGTTCGTACCACTATTTGGCTGCTGGAAAATAATGTTTGAAGTTAATTGATGTATTATTAAGGCCAACCAGTGTAATGCAAAGCCAACTCCCGTCTGCAAACCCCACAACTCCTGAATTAGCTGACAAATATTCCACTTTTGGGACAACCGTACAGATAAACAGATTTTTAAGGAGTTCCAAATGAGAGGAGGGGAATAAATTTACATCATTTTTCTGCGATTATACCGCCTCCGTTATGCTTAATATGCTGATGCTTATTAAGTGATTGTTTGTGAAGCTGTGATGGAATTTCACGCAACTTAAATGTCAGAATCAAAGTTAACAAACAGTAGCCATCAAGGTAACAAGAAGTGCGAGCACAGGCACACTGCGTCACTGTTAAAGTTCAAAACGGTTAAAAAACAACCGAAATCTCCATATACCCGTGAGTTAAAAGGTAACGTACTTAGTACAACCGCAACGTTTACCTTAGTAGCAGCCACACTAAGGCGTTGTTTAAGAAAAGCAGTACGTAAAACGCGCTTCTGCAGACAGTTCATTTTTCGGCCGAAAAAGGAAAACGAAACCAGCAAAACCAAAAAATCTGACTCCCGTGAACATGAGAATCGGCTACAGTGCACCAACTTGTCGCATCCCACACTACCGGCATTTCTTACCGGACAGGGATCAGTGGCATACCATTGGATCTTGTCCCGTCGCTTGATAAAATCCACATGTTCCAACTGACACGGAAAGCCTTCACTTTCGCAGCTGCTTTTTATGATACACTGTTCATTTCTCTGTTTCGCGCCCGATGTCTTTTTGTTGATTTATTGCAGGAGAGTGCATGATGGCCGTTTATTTCTACAGCTTTTCCACATGCGACGCAGTTATGTGCAGTTAATGCTGGCAGTCCAAGTTAAACGCAAGGCCACTCCAAGTCATACTTCTTCGGCTCACAAGAAAGTCTCAGACATGGCGCCGGCAGCGTTGCAGCTGTTGTCATGGGCTTTGCTGTGCTGTGACCTGCATGCCGGTAGCAGTATACCAGTTCTGTTATGTTGTTGAAGGCTGCTACATTTTACCACACTTGCGTCTACGCTACGTCTGCGCTGCGCTGATTCGAAGCTGCAGCTGTAGATCCAAATCAAAAAAGTTTTTGGTAGCGTGTTAACAGCTTATCAAACATGGCAGACGCAGCGAACGATGCTCGCCGGCATACCTCAGAAATCTTCTGGTGTTAATGCGCTTTTTTTTGACACAGGTTTGCCTTTCCTTTTTTTAGCCTTCGAATTTATATGATTTAATAGCAAATTGTTGTACTTATATATTTTAATCAAATCTAGAAATATTTTATGCCGGTACAGTGTGGCGTCAGAACTGGTATTGAAAGGTGGTGTTAGGAGCCAAAGGTGGTAAAAAAGTGGTACATCTCGTTTAGGAGCCATCGGTGGTAATATAGTGGTACCGGGAGCCTTCACCAAATACTTATTTCGCCTTTTAGTTAGCCGAGCAGAAATGAAGTTAAGAATTTTTGTTAACTGATACTCGTTCATTACTTTGTGCAATGCGTATTGATCATCATATTTAAGATGTCGTTATTAAGTCTCTGCTGAACTTTTGGTAGTCTTTTTCGCAAGGCTTTTGCGTACGTGAAGGCCTTTCTTTCATGTCAGTTCATACCTCGTGCAGGATATTCCTGATTGTAGGACACATGAAACTCATAAAATAAACCAACTAAAGCATGTACACCGGTTTTTTGTGGAAATTCGTTTTTAACATTATTGAGCTCGCACATCTCAAAACTAGAAAGGACACAAACTGTGCCATCAAAACAGATATTTCAAACGGTTGTTTATTGGGCAATAGCCGCCATAACAACAAAAAGTGCAAGCGCGGGCACACTACTTTACAGTTAAAATTTAAACATTAAAAAAACAACCAAAATTTCTATTCGCCCGCGGGTTAAAAGGCAACCTACTTAACACAGCAGTAGAATTTCCTTAATGACAGCCAAACTAAAACGTTGCTTCATAAAAGCAGTAGAACGCGCTTCTCCAGTTAATTTACGAGTTTTACGGCCCATAAAATGTACAAATTCACTTAAAGCTGAGCCGAAGACACCGAACGTTGCAACAACTAAGGGATAGAAAAGGTGTCTACTTTCCAGTGGAGAGTATTTCCGTTGCTTCTCATTTTCTGCCAGGTGAGCCACACTTTCTGCCTTCTTCGAACTTCCGTGGACATATTTCAAACTAGTTTAGCTGATGTAATACTGACCGAGCACATTTTGCCTCCGATTATGACCAGACAAAATTTTATCCGGTGTTTTGCTCACCATTTTATAGACTTGTTAACGATAACGCAACTACCTAAACATTACACAGATAATCGGCGACTGTTGTAGCGGCTAAAATATTTCATATCACTGGCATGTCTCTCCTATAAAACCGGCTGTAAAAGGAATAGTTTCCATCAGGCTAACCCCGGAAAATAATTCCCGCCGTTCCGTACTTGGATCTGTGGTTGTCAAAGCGCGTAAGACGTAAAAACATTTTTTATATACAGAACTTAAAAGGATATTGCCGACGGTCCTTAGAATACAGTACTTGCTAAGAATGCAACACCTGCATGTTTTCCTATTTTTCGGATTGGCATGGCTTATAATCCTCGGGATGGTGCGGTCTCAAGAAAACGGTAAGCAAAACTACCCATGTATCGCTTTACAAGTATGCGGCCTGGCTTTCCGTAATTGCTTAGCAAAGGTCATTCGAGCCACGCGAAGAAAATAAGAATGAATTAATCGAATTAGATAGTTTTGGTAGTTTTCTTTAATGCAGAGTAAATTTGCTGCCGTAACACTGCAATAACAGTTGCTTGAATACTCAGTAAAAAACAGTCAGTTTGACTAAACTTCTGAGTGACAACTTCTGAGTAACAACCCCTTCAAAACTGTTGTAAGGAAAAAAGGCTAGGTGCGCACCTGAATAACAGCGCACTATATTAATCTGTGTACTTATTAATTTTATCACCAATGCACTTAATTGTAAGTGCTAAAAGGCGACGGTCTAATGTAGACGTGCCGAGCCCCGGCTGCAAGTATTTAATATCGCCGGGCAACATCACTCTCTCCTGTCCCGCCGGCATGGACATCCCCGTCAACTTTGACGTCACGAAGATCCGCAAAAATGTCCTGGAGATCAAAATCGCGGCGGGCAACGGCAACATTCTCCGCTCCGATGCGCCGCCGCTGCCGGCCGACCTTACCGCACTGCGGAAGATCACGCTGTATGGATTCACCAATGAGTACGACACACGCATCGCCATTAAGCGCTTCCTAGACAACGTCAAAGGCCATATTACCGAACTGCGAATCTACAACAGCAAACTGGGCTTCCTGGAAGACACCTTCCTCGGCGGATTCGATCAGTTGACGAAACTGGACTTGTCTGGCTGCGATATTTTCGCCATCGACACAGATGCATTTAGAGGCAGTCAAAGTTCTGATCCGATAATGAGCGTCGATTTGTCCGGGAACAGCATCGAAAGCATCGACTGGGCCGTTTTCCAGCCGTTCTCTTCGAAATCATTGGTATGCACAACGAATAGCTGCGGCCAACTCATGCAATGTCATATGTTCTCATTAAATGCGCTTTCGTAGTCACTGCAACTTGGATCTCAAAAGCCGGGTCTGCAGTCCATCAGCTGCTCCCAAAACTACACCTTCTCTAGACCGATCGGTTCGGTGGGGCTCTATTTCAACCGCTTGGAATCCTTACTGCCGTGTGTCATCGACTCGCTAAACTACGACGCTTCCAGCACTCTGTACGTGGACTACAACCCCTTTTGCCCGACGGACGGAATGTGCGGCTGTCCCACGATGGAACCCTTTCTCCGCTTCGCGTGCAAGGACGTCCCTGTCAACCTGGTGACCGGCTTCAAGTGCGGCCCGGCCAACAATCAGCGATCCTGGACGACCAGCCAAATGCCGCCCAGCGCGCCCTGCGGCCACAGCAGCGGAGTGCAACGACTGTTGCACACCAGTTGGGGAATCGTGGTAGCTACCGCTCTGACGTTGCTGTCGCGTTTGTGAAGATATCCAGTTGTACTTATGAGCTCCGCTTGTTTCCTAACTCGGAAAATGCCCTTTAAATAGTTGATAATGCTGCAATGCATAGAAAACAACACGAAACAATTAGCTTTCTTATAAATACATTGTCAATGCTCCTGCATATGTTCTTTATTACAGCGGATGAATGTTGTCCAAGCGGTCTACCATGTTGTGGCTATCTGCTCAGATCAGCTTACCTGGATGAGCGCAGCGTGACTGCACACATTTATCGTGGCTGTCCATTCTGTTTTATAAACCTGATTTTTCGTTTTTGGTTCTTCTTTCGTTCGTGCGGGACGTTCTAATTAAAATAGTGTTACGTTATAAACTTCACTAACGTTACGTGCTGCCCCAGGCACTATACATAGCAAAGTCTAACGTAGAAATCCCGACGTGGAATTTTGTGACTTTTTTTACGAAACACAATTCAAGTGACTGCTAGATGACTTCCAATTTGACTAAACCAGAGTGGACCCTCTAGCGTTTGCAGTCTTGGCGCTTATAGCCACATTCGGATAACCATCCACATTAAGGAACTTCTAGAAATTTTCAAAGCCTTAGATCACTCAATAACAACATTAAAACGACGTAACAAGACATACAGAGAAATCTGACAATTCAGATCTTATCGACTTATGACCAAATATAGAACTAACTTCGCAATTCTTTTTTTGTGGCTAATGATCTTTACGCCAGGCAGTATCTTAAAATAGCTCGCATGAGGTTGTGTGGCTGGTTACACCTGTGGTGATCCGATTCTCTTCTGGGAATCGTAATCACAGCGATTCGTGACCTTTCATCCTTTTCCAACCTAACAGTCGTCTGCTAAAAAGCCCTGAATAAGCCATCCGAGTTAAGAAAGCTTTAAGAAAGATGTTTTAGTGTTAAAGGTATGCAGCGGCAACAGAATTCTGGAAATCGTGTTATCTCGTTTCCGTAATAAGAATGCGAAACATTCCACACGCGTTCACAACGCCCTACATTTGTCATCAGCATACAATAACTTACGTGCTTAACTCTACAAACATACGAGGTATTTTCAACGTCACACATTCTACTGTTTAATAACGCTCTAGTTAGTTTTTCATTGTACATATGCTGATTCGACCGTATGTCCCTGATGCTTAATAAACCGTAGATGTTATATGAAACAGTGCGATGCTGGCAGAAATGCGCTATGTTCGACCATACCGCGTTGACCAAATCGAGTTTCTAGTAAGTTTCTAAGATTTTACAGATACTTAATCCTGTGATTAGACAGCCAACTGGAACTGAAGGCTGTTATGATTTATCACTGATGACCTCCCGCAGTGACACAGTGTAGGGCTAGATTGTTATCATTAAATATTGTGCATCTACTAGAATTTTCTAAGAACGCCGACGCTTCATAAGAAATATGACGATCCCTACAACGGGAGCCACACACGCCCACCCGATGACGATCCCGGCGATCTCCGCGCCGGAAAAAAGTCCTTCTTCAACCGGCACTGGCGTCGCAGTTGCCCCGATCGCCGTGGTGTTCGTCCCTTCCGGCGTCGTCGTGGTGGGATGGACCCAGCCGAACTCGCAGGCCCCTTGCACCTCAATGTCTTCGGCCAAGTAGAAGCGGAAGGCGTGGCAACAGGTGTAGTTGTTTAGCAGCACGCGGAACACCGCCGTCCCGTTGACGTCCATCAGATAGGTGGTCGTGCTGGTCCCGGTGGATGGGTTATAAGGGCTGCATTGTTGCTCTGTCTCCAGATCAGTGGAGGTATCCAAGAAGCCGCCGTAATCATCGGTAAATTCCAGAACAGCGTCCCAGGTGGTATTGACACACTGGGGACCCTTCGGGCAGTTGTTATACGATGTGGCGTTCGCGGTGCACTGCGGCGGAGTGGGCGGGATGCCCGGGATGAGAACCATCGGGCGCACCAAATAGTTCCCGGGGAGGGCGTCCTGATACAGCCGGTCGTTGCCCATTCCGAAGACCATGTAGTTGACGCTAGAGTTGACGCCTAGCGGGACCGTGATGCTGCTGAAAAGATTTGTACCGTGGTCGTAGGACACCGCTAGGCTCAGATCATCATGCTCTGGCCGGCTGGTAAACCCGAGGTTGTCCACAGCCGATGCCCTCCCGGTGGCGTCACCCGCGAGCTGCAGTCGGACCAGCGTGTTTCCCCCGGGAACTTGAACTTCCACCGGGCGCGAGAAGCTGATGCTGGCGTTGCAGCGCGACGGCCGGAAAATATCGGTGAAGCGGTGGTACGCGGTACCGTTCACTGTCTCGGTGACCTTTATTCGGAAGGGCTCCGCCGCCATCGTGAGGTTCGCCTGCGCCTGGATAGCGTTGAACTCGGAAGATCCGGTAAGAACCATCTCTGTGGTGGCGGTTACCAGCGAAAGGGTGGCGTTGGTCGATCCCAAAGTCATGACTTTGTAACTGACGCCGACAAGGGGATCGTTCTCGACGCGTTGATCTTCTGCACGGTCGCGGGAAAATGGGTCCAGACGGTATAAGCCTAGTTGCGCAAAGTTCTCTGTCGAAATATACGCGCGTACCGACCACGTGTCCCGAGGAATTTTTTTAACGGTGAAGCGCCACTCTGTCTGGTTCGCTGGACCGACGGTCACCCAGGTCCCGGCGTCGTGCACCGAACAGTACTCGCCCTCCTCGCCCTTCTCGCAAATGCTGACAACCGCATTGCCAATCCAGATCCCCGCGGGTTGCTCGTTGTCGTACAACGGCACCACAATCTCCTTTTCCGCATCGCGCGAAGCGTCGACCACTGCGGCCAAGGCGAGGTCATCCCGGACAGCGAAATCGAACACCTGCTCCGCGCTCCCTGTTAGCCGGTATAATGGTTGACTGATAAAGCTCCCTCCAGTTCGTTCGACAGTGCGCGCGTAGTCCGCTTGCCTGCGAGCAATAGTGACCCCGATGACTACCAGTCGCTGCTGTTTACTTTCCAGGATCGCGGACACCACGCGGGGTGCGGCGGCGCGATTAGTAACTACCGGCGAGGCATCGGTCAGGAGGATAATGGTGCTGCGGCTGTCGGCATTGCGTGCCGCCAGACTAACCGCCTCCAGGGCGTGGCGTCCATTGTCCTCCTGATCGGTGTCGATGTCGGTGCAGATGTCCCGATGGTCAAAGCACGCTGTGTGCAGCTTTACTAGCAGGTCCTTAAAACCGTCCACCGTAGTCTGGTAGGGATGAGCCTTGGGGACGGCATTAAGGCGGTCAAAGGTGTACACAACAAAACCCTTTGCGCTTTTGGATAGCGTCTTGTTTGAGTTTGTCACGAGGTCGAGTAGCATTGAAAGGCGCTGCCTCCCGGCCTCCGAGTACGTTGTGTCCACAACGACAATCAATTCGTGGCCGGGTGTATTCCCTCGAATGCCCAACACATGCGGAAACAGGTCGATGGTCGCGTTGCGGATGCTGTTCAAAAAGGTCACGGCGGCATTTACGGATTGGTTGGAACGGTCCTGGATCATGTGCAGCGCCTGACCAATCAGCGTACGGGCCTCGTGGAATTGCTGCGCGTTGATGGTCTGGATGACGGCGCGGGTCCACTCATCGAGAACCCGCTCGGCGACGGGCGACGGCGTCTCGGTGTCGGCGTGCCAGACGACGCTGTTGCGGCGGCCGCTGGCCACACCGTCGATGAAGACGCTGGCGTCCATGATGTGCTGCAGCGCGTGTAAATGCGCGGCGGGGACGCGGCGGCCGAAGAGCTGAGGAGCGTCCTCGTCTGTGTCATCTACTGGCAGTGGAAGGAGGTCGGGATTGGCCAGACCACTTGAGGCTTCGTCGTAGATAATGTTTCGGATGGTGGACAGTGCTATGAATGTCGCCTCGCGACGGGTTGACGCTGGTGGCGGGGCCAACGCCACGCTGACGACGGCGGATAGTAAGAGAAGGCTCTTGCGCATTTTCTGATTTGAATTAAGACAGCGCTAAGGGATTATTTGTATGGCAGAGGAAAAAAGCAATATTCTGCTTTAAAGCAATGCAATAAGCTGTTATTAGAAACAAAATTTGCGCATGCTGATAATACGCTGACAATCGAGCATTGTGAAACGGACGTACAGTTTTGTATGTGCTGTAACAATATATTGCTGTTTGTCTTATCTTATCTCATGCGTCCATATAAGCCCAAACATACTGTAATAACTGTCTTTTGTTGCCGGTGTGCGTAACACGGTTCAGATAAGATAACGATTAAGGAAATTGGCGAAATTTTTTGAAGTTTAAGCACAAACCCAAGTCCTGGTCTTAGACTTGAATTTGAAGTTAAATTGTAGTGTGAACTTGAGAATTCCAGAGACGGAAGGACAGCGTTGACTGGCCGTCTGCGGGCGAACGGCAGGATATGCATGGGAGCAGCGGATACCCGCAACGGCCATACCGCAAATTTCGCGCCATGCCGGCAGATCATCAGTCTACTATTTTTGCATGCGTTAAAGCCGCTTTTATCGCCTTTTCGTACGAGATTCCTACAAATGTTTGGTATACAGCGACTCGTTCACTTCCCTTCTACCATTCGTCAACATGCAAAATCCTCATCTTTTGGAAAACTGTCAACGTTGTCTTCTAGACAGGCGTCCGGCTGATCGTTTGCACCGGATTCCATGTCTTTCGAATTCGTCCACCCACTCGCCGCATTTACATTTCGTAAGGAGTGACGACTGGAGCGCCTAATCGTAGAGCAACGCTGGCCTGGAAATCGATATTCTCCAACAGACTACCTGGGCATGCAGCAGGTAATGCGTGGATCCAGTACCCGGATTCTGGAGTCGACACTGCCTTCAAGTGAGTAACTTTTGTGGCAGAGACACGGAAAGCTGAAAGGTCGGAAAGGGCACGCAAGGTCGCGGGAGTATCCCAGGCCTGTTGGATGCCGTGAAGGTGTTCTGCCGGCACATCGTTCATGCCGGTACGCAATTTCCAAGCCAGTGTTGAGACTGTTATATCGGTGATAGTGCCGGGCACAGTTTAGAATTAAGCCGACGAAATGAGGAAGCCGATGCCAAGTAGGCGGAGGGAGCTAGCTCCTCAGTGCGTCGTATCCCTAAACCAACCGATCGAACAGGTAAGGATACCTGCAATCAGGTTGGATGATCCATCCTCACGTTTGATATACGCTCTACAGCGGCGCGGAAGGTTCGATCAAGCAAGGGCGTTTCATGAGAAAGATTCTTCAAAGCAGAATCTGTATATAATGATGTCACAATGGTT